TATATATATATATATATATATATATATATATATATATATATATATGCATCAGGCAGTGAAATTTCCATTTGACATAGAATTTTGAGAACTTGATGAGATAGGGCTTGAAACGAATACTCTGATTGATTTTCTATTCTTTCACTATAAAAATTCAAGAAGGATTAACATCGCATGATCACCCCTTTGATAGAAAGACCGCATATAAATTACAAAATTACGCATGTCGAAGCCTTTGATGATCACTAACGCCATGATTCTTTGTGAGCAATATTGAATTTACCACTAACTCACCTTCCAGCCCTTATATACCAGGGTCTTACTCTCTGATTGGAGAGACAAAGGGCTGCAGCGCTTCCTTGTATTTTGGAGAAAAAAAATCAAATATAAGCCGAACCGATGCACACATAATCTCTCCTGAAATTAAACACTTCTGAAACAATTGCACACTGTGTGCGGATATGTAGCGTGCCGAATGTTCAATGCTAGTCGATGAGATTATATAAAGCTCGAATTTTGTTTTGCAGTGTACACGTACATACAGAGTAGGTTCTACCGATCGCCCGAAGTCATACTAGGACTGCCCTACAGCATGGCCATCGACATGTGGTCACTTGGCTGCATACTCGCTGAGATGTACACGGGTAAGATATATGTCTTTCGCGCAAAATCCATCTTCGTGTATGCAGGCAGCTTCATTAAAATCCAGCTTCGTGTATGCAGCCTCATTAAAATTCAGCTTTGAGTAATCCAGTTTCAATATCAAGGTTTTCTGCTATCTAATGTCGGAGTAGACGCCCCTTTTCCCCAGATTCTACAAGACTTCTACACAAAAATTTCGAATTTAATTTGAGGCAATTAGTATTGCTATTTGAATAAATTGCCTAAAGCAATGTCCGAAATACATCCGGAGAGCACCAAACAACGAAAATATCTTGGGGTCGTGGCAAAGACTACTACCGCCTTTCAAAAAAACCGAAACCCGGAATATAATTAAGTGGTTGATTTCGGGCTGTAACTAATTGGTTGGCGTGTATTCTCAGGTTACCCGCTCTTTCCTGGAGAGAATGAGCTTGAGCAGCTAGCGTGCATCATGGAGATCTTTGGCCTTCCTCCCGGCAGCCTCCTACAGCAAGCAACACGTAGGAGATTTTTCTTTGGTGAGTCCTAGTATTTATCGTGCACCAGCTTCCTCACTTTGTTCTTTCCATGTTATTATTATTCTGTATATTATATTTATATTATTATTGCTGTTATTATTTTTTTTATTGTCATTATTATTATTACTATTATTATTATTATTATTATTATTACTATTATTATTATTATTAGTAGTAGTAGTAGTAGTAGTGGTAGTGGTAGTGGTAGTGATAGTAGTAGTAGTAGTAGTAGTATTATGATTATTGTGATGAAATTTGACGGCTTTATATAGATAAGCGTATACTATTTTCATGTTGATTCACGCAGAGATATATCGTAATATAAATTAGGCATGAGAATCTTTCGCGAAATTTCGGGATTTGGTTTTGTAATCTATCATTCATGAAATCATTGCAAATCCGTTGAGAAAATTGAGGGTTTGATTGAATAACGTGTATACATTTCGTATATATGTATATATGTGTCGTAATATAATTAGTGTCGTAAGATATACTGTATATATCAGCATTGAATTACGGTGAAAATAGAGTGAGTGAGTACAGGCGAGTTCTGAGAGCATGTTTGTCTATGCAGACTCCAAGGGAAACCCACGTTGTATAACGAATAGCAAGGGAAAACGACGGAGACCAAACACACGGGACCTTGCATCTGTGCTGCGAGTTAATGACCCGCACTTTGTTGACTTCATTCGTCGCTGCCTAGAGTAAGCACTACTTCTTTTGCACGGCAATCGCCTCCGTGGGTAGCTGAGTGAGTGAGTGAGTAAGTAAGTGAGTGAGTGAGTGAGTGAGTGAGTGAGTGAGTGAGTGAGTGTAGTCGAAGTGAAATGACATGAGTCGGTGAAGTGGAGGTGAAGTGAGTGAGGTGTGAGTGAGGGTGAAAGGAATGACGGGGGGTGTGGTAGTAATGGCGTGCGGGACTGTCCGTGCGTGAGCGAGCAAACGATTGAGTGAGCGAGTGGGTGAATTAGGTAGACAATTATATTACTCATTATCACTTTATTATTATTTTATTGAATTATTAATTATTATTATTATTTATTATTATTATTATTAAGCCATCCATCAATCATACATCATCATCATCATCATCATCATCATCATCATCATCATCATCATCATCATCATCATCATCATCAATACTATCATATTTTTCTGTCTGCAGGTGGGAGCCGGGTGCACGCTTGACACCTGAGGAGGCCATCCGTCACCCGTTCATCACGCAGGAGTCGAGCAGCCGACACGGTACGCCGCAGACGACGCCGACGCAGAACAGGCATCATCGCAGCAGCACCGTCAGCACGGCGTCGTCGTCCGACAACTCACACAACTCCGGTGAGAGGCAAATACGAAAATAATTAATATATATATATATTAATCGTGTCGGAGTGGCACTTCGTCGAGACAGAATCGCCCTCAATATATATGTTTCTAGTGCTTTCTAACTGTGATTTTCTTGTCATCTCGCAGAAAACTCGCGAAGTAGGGACGACATCTCGATGCGACTGCGATCAAAGACGCGGGATAGAGAGAGATTGCAACCGATAGGCGCACCGGACCCTAACTACATCATCGACGAGTCGTCTCGGGTGCATCGCATGAGCATGTCTTCCACGAGCATAACAAGCCGAGGCGAACCGCTCGAGGGCGAGAAATTCTTGCCTCCGATACTATAGAGCAGCAGTCCGAAAGAGTCACCAGGTGCCTCCACCGCTCAAAGCATGCATGCCAACAGTTCGATGTCAGCGAACAGGTGGAAACCTAGTGACCCTACACCTTCGCGCACGTGTGTGAAGGGGAGACATGGACCCCGCTTGGACATCTCTACAGGCACAGATGCACGGCGAGCTGCCCCCGTTTGTGTTCGGCCAGCTTATTTCTCTCAGGTGCCATGAGTTGCGAAGTTGGTACATATTGAACATGGTGTTCATATCCGTGCGCTGCTGGAACAGCGATGTCACTCGTTGTAATAACCCTCTACGCCAGTCCCTTGATCAGTAATCGCGGTGCTTGAACGGCTGGAAGGTCTTCCGAAACCAGTAGCGAACGCTGTCAGATGGTACAACATCAGCATGAGGTTTTTTTTACATAAAGTGGTCAGGGACAAGGGAAGTAATGACTAAACTACGTGCGACGAGTTTGTTGGTACTACTACTAGTCGGACCGGTTGCTCAGCAATCGATGTAAAACTGCTGCCTACTCACACTTGTGTTCATGTTTTCTTTTTGTAATTATATATATATATATATATATATATATATATATATATATGTATGTATATTCATATATTACCAAGGAATATGCATACATACTCTAAGTACACGTGGGGAGTGGTGGACCCATATCTGCACTGCCCGTGAGAATGGGTCACATCGGCTTTGCTGATAATGCCCCAAGCTTTGCATTTGTCGCGTTGCATTTTGGTTGGTGGTGCTTGTATCTTGCCACAGATCGTGACCAAAGTCTGTAGTTTAGTGAGACAATGACGCAACTGTGGGTTGGGCTAGTTTGTACTAGCGTTTTCTATGGGCTTATATAGTTTATTTATATATGAACTCCATAAAATGTTATGCCATTAGTCCTATAATTTTATCCATGCATACGGATGAATTCTATGCTGTTGATTGCATGACAAAATTATGCTGTTCTTGTTTCAATACAGTTGGAGGCATATGCTAGTATAACTATAATAGTTTATCAATGAAGACGTGGTGTTATGTCGCATTATTTTTAGGAAGTGATATGCATGACGCAAACGGGCCAGAGAATGAAGTTTCTACAGTTATGATATTTCTTACTTTTGGATGACCTGTTTCATTGCTCAGTTGTGATAACAACATTGCAAATTTGAATTATGTTTGTTTATCACCTAATCTGATGTAGAGGTTTCAAATGACAGGGTTCCATATATGTTGATATATAATTATATATGTGCGTGTGTATATAGGTGTGCATGTGTATCAGTATGTACACTAGTACAATGACACAGTATATAGAGAACTCATTGGCAATGTTCTATTGTACGCAACGTCTGCGAACAGGAGAAATGTAAATTTCAAGGTTCCAATATAACGGAACGTTGCGTAAAGGATTACCTATAATCGCGGTAACTTGTTGCGACAGTTAGTTTGATTGTGTTTTATTCGTGACAACGGTTTTCATCCGTTATCTGTAAAATATCAACGTTATATAGAAAAACGAATCTCTTTGTGAAAGAGTCTCGCATGACTTTATTATATTAACCATATGCACAGGTTGTACATATTTTACTGCCATGGAATATGACACTTTGCATGTAAATATTTTATCTTGTGGCTTTTTAGACGTTGTGCCATGTGTTATGCCGTTCATATGCTATTATCTTATATTCACTGTTGGTACTCGGTTTTGCTTCAACTTGCCTCCAGACATAACACACCCACATGACAAAAAACCTTAGTGAATTCGCTTTTATAGTCAAAGCTTTATGATTTTAGAGACAGCCAATGAATCTGGTGTAGTAGGCCATGTATTTTAACCATCACTCACTGGTTCACTTTATATTCGTTCCCATGCTTTTTACGTGCATTTGTCAGTGATTTGTGTAGCATTTAACTGCGAATATTAAAATAAATTTTTCAGTCATAAACGAAAAACTTGTTACTTCGGTGTATTGTTTTATTGTCTTGCGTACGGACTAGTGTGAGATATATTGATCAGATTAAGTTATGCGTCAGGGCGTATGCGCGTGAACGCGAAATCACATTATAATATGGACACAGGGTAGGATATAGACACGGCTGCAAATTAAATGGGGGGATGTGCAATATATATAACCTGCTAAGGAACACTAGCAGAATCGTGATGCGGGCAGCTGAACTAATGGCGATGGCGGCTGCACACTAGTCACAATATGATGCCCTAGTCAGTCATAATACTACTAATAATAATAAACATTATTATATATTAGTTATAATTATTATTGTTATTGTTGTGATAATAATACATGAAATATTCGACATATTAAAGCTCAGTACGTAAATGGTTTCATTGCAAGCACTGCAGCGCGCTGCCTTGCGCGTCATTATAAGCATATTTACATGCGACTTCGCCTGTTCACTCAATCAACTTCCACTTACAAACTCTCGTAAACAATACGCGTGCGTTTAATAATAAAACATAGACAGACAGAAAGATCGGCAGAAAACATCGACCAACACTGTAATGTTTTTATATCAAGTATGTTATTACGTTAACGCGAGTTTTTTTTACAGATTTTTGCTTCTCGCTGCAGCACGGTCGATTCTAAAATTTACATCTATTAGCATTATAACTATTTTCATATTAAATTTACCCGATGGCATGATAATATTTACAATTATATCATATAATTACTACATTGACGTTCTGGTCACAGGCACTTCATCTTGGGCCGTTTCAATAATAAAATGATGGTGAATAAACACAAATTGTATTTACTAGATGGACTCTATCTTTCAGTTAGTTTGTGTACAGATCGATGCGTGCATGCGGTGAGATTTTGCAGAGGAGCATTTGACCGACATTTTTGTTGGATAATTAGGCGAGAGAATGAACATACACATCAGGAATTTGGTATTGAATTTGAAATATAGTAATTGTGTAGTCAATTTACCTTCATTTTATTATTGAAACTGAAACGTCTCAAGTGCCTGTGGTTCTGGCCAGCATATATCAGTCAACGAGGAGTCATGTACATGGGAACAGAATATTATATATAATATATATATATATATATATATATATAATTATATATACACACAATATATTTACAATATAGTTATCAGGTCATGTACTCAAGTGTTATACGCCATGTGTTATGAATGTAACGAACTCTCTGTAGTCTGTTTCTGTTTGGCTAAACACCGTCACGTGTCAGCGCGTTTCGCGCGCAATAAGCGCAATGAGAACAGAATATAACATATTCTATATATATTGTACCCATTGTATATATTGCTCTTAGGCACCAAAGACCGTGTTCAATGTACAATTACATTTCACCAAAGATATAAAAACACAAAGACAAAATATTAAACTTTGTTCTTTGTTTACTTCTTTGTATATGTATCAAGTTGTAATTGTTATATATCTCCTCTATTATGAGCTCTTGATATATATCACCGGCATCGCTGATTACATTAAAACAATTTCTTCGATACAGAGGGCAGCACCATACACACGTAAAGCAGACGACGCAGAAAGATGCGAACAATACAATATGTGCAATATGTTACACTCTGTTTTCAGGCACACAGCTATAAAAATGAAAGTGTCAATAACACTGTAGCTCACATTGGGTGTGATAGAAGAGGGAGGGGGGATATATAAAGCAAGAGTATATATGGGAGAACTCCCATTATATAGCATATCTCCCATTATGATTATATACTCTTGATAATGATATATGCATGTTTTGATCTGGAAGTCTGAAATCTTGACAAGAGTCGAAGAGATGGCGCTACGCCTAAATGATCGCCATTTTGGTTTTCGAATATCGCGCAAATAAAAACAATAAAATATTCCAGTCAAATTATTGTAACGAAGAATCTAAAACACAATATTACACGTATATAGGTATGATTGTAGAGTTGTTGACCAGTTAGATGAAATAAACGTAATAGGACGTTGTCATCTCTCCCATAGGAGTAACAACTGTTTTGGTGCTAGCCTTACACATTCATGATATACCAAAATTTAACAAAATCGAATGAATCTAGATGGACATTCTTATTTTTGCCAAAAAGTGGGCGTGGCTCGAAAGTAGGTCGACTGGCGTGCTCCAAAATAGGACGTTCAAATCTCTCCCATAGGAGGAACAACTGTATGCAATTTGAAACATGTGGGGCAAACGGTTCTTGAGTTATCGTTGACCGTAGGCAGACACTGAAATGCATAATGAAATTGCCAAAATCTACCTAATTTGCATAATTTAAAAAACAAAACAAAACTTGTGTGATATGTTTTGGGGCCAGTCGTCATTCATTCACATACAAGAAATGAGCAAAATCCGTTGAACCTGAACTGACGCTGAGAGGGTCTATGTCCCCCGGGGTACTGCCGGAACGTACCCTGGTACTATCTAATATGCCGGACCGTACCTCGCCTACTTCACTAACGAGTCTAGGGAGTCGCCTACGCCTACTCCCTAACTCTGACCCTGACCCTAACCCGAATCCTAACCCTAACCATATCAAATAGTGACCAGGGTACGTTCCGGTATACCGGACCGTACCCAGGGTACGTCTCGCCTACTTCATTAACGAGTCTAGGGAGTCGCCTACGCCTACTCCCTAACCCTAACCCGAATCCTAACCCTAACCATATCAAATAGTGACCAAGGTACGTTCCGGTATACCGGACCGTACCCAGGGTACGTTCCGGCAGTACCCTGGGGGACATAGGCCCTATGAGCTGAACTGACTTGTGGCCATTTATATTTTTCGACAAAAAGTGGACGTGGCTCCAAAGTAGGTCGACTGGCGTGCTCCAAAATAGGACGTTCAAACCTCTCCCATAGGAGTAACAATTCGAGTTTACACTGCTGATTGTCGGTTGTGTAATTGCGAAATTGGTACAATTCGCCAATTTGACAACATAAAATCGGTCGTGTAAACCCAGTGATGGTATAAGTATAGTTTTCTCTATTTTTTTAGTACAGTAGTTTCATAAGATGTACAATTCGACAATATAACTTAGAACACAATGAGATACAAGGGACAGAAAATGCATGAAATTCCACGATTAATCCATAATCGAACGAATTGCATTTGTTAAATTTATTCGTTATTCGGCATAACAAACGATTTGATGACCATGCATTTGGAAGACACCGAGATTTGTACAACCTCGTGAAATCGTATTATCCATGGACTCCGCCATCGTGGATCTGGTCTAGGACCCGTTTCAGTAGTTCGTCACACTGAAACAACTAGCTGTATGGTAAACAAGATGACGTGCCATTTACAAATCCGTCATAGAGCATTACGCGAAACGAACTCTTTACTGACACCGAGGGTTGCAACTGCGAGTATATTTTACGTGCTTGGCGTTTCTTTTACTTCCCGATTACTGGCGACTAGCCCACAAATTTACGTAGTCACTCGATATCTGGGCGACGATACAAGGGATTAGCGGTGACCACTACCACTGGCACTGGCACTGTTGATAACCAGGGTTTTGCCCCTTGAGAAAATCCCCTTCTGAGGTCTTTGAAATATAACACTCTAACCTCTGGACCACCACGACTCTCCCTGTCACTTTCCTCGTGCACAAATTTCCGCGTCTCCTGCATACGTGCAACAAATGTACACAAATGGTCACAAATGTACAAATGTGATACAGTTATGCATGTACGGGTTTGATTTTAATTTTAATGCTATAACTACGGCACAGAGTTCAGATGCATCCGAATTATGGTCCTATTGTTCTGAATAGTGAGCAATTGACCATTCCGGCTGAGCAAGACTGCCAAGACATCTGCTTCCCTTAAGCCTGGGACACACCATGCGAATTTATTCGCACGTCCGCGGCGATAATATCCGCAGCGAAAATATTCGCATCCGCATGCCATAATTGAGCGGACACACCATGCGAATTTATTCGCACGTCCGCATCGGACAGACTACACGCAATCTACTGGCGCCACACGGCTCCACCATGGCTCCAGCAGTCATGTGGTCACGTGATTAGCATACTAATCAATAATTTGCTGCATTATAACAATCGGCCAGCTTGCACAGACACACCATGCGAATATGTACGCAGCGGTAAAAATCCGCAGCGAAAATATCAAACATGTTTGATCGCTGGCAAATTTCGGTGCGGATGAAATTCGCCCGCGCTTGAGCGGACACACCATGCAAATTTCACTGCGATTTTACAATCGCTGCGGACGTGCGAATAAATTCGCATGGTGTGTCCCCCGCTTTAAAGCAGTCGAGCAATACCAGTTACTCAGGTATGCACGCTAAATTGTGGATCCGACTTTGCAACACTTTGTTACTAAGCGGTGTTTTAGAACTTCCATATAGCAATGTTAATTGGGTACAGCTGCCAGTCAATCACTATAGGAAGCTAGGGGAATTAGTCGAGCAGCTGTTGGACATCTATTATAGAAAACATGAACGTTTACTCTGCACTGCAGACTCACGGTAAGCTAGAAAAGCATTGCGACATGCAAGAATAATTGGCAAATGCTGGCATATCTCGTGCCATGTGAGAATGATATAATGTGAGAATAATATGAGAATCATATATAACAAGCTAATACAAGCTCTATTTCAGCGCTTTAGCACCCGATTTCGCAGTAAGTGTGACGACAATAAAAAAGCTACCACACCGCAGACAGATGTTGCGAGGCATTTTATATTCACAGTAATCAGTGAGCTACAGGTTCTGATATCAGACATCGCCCTGAACACATAATGTATGATTATACATTGGTTCCTTATATATTATGATGAGTATAAATATGTTCATAGCATGGCTTGACACCGTGTACAGGGTCTGAGATTGCGAGCATATAATATCAAAGGAACTATGTAGCGAAAATTTGCCACTAAATTTAGAACACACCCAATCGAACATTGTTGGCTCTGAATAATTAAATAATAGCGTTTAATAGCAAAAACAAACACCGCAATAATTTACACTTTTTAGAATTCTTTTAGAAAACTAGACGCTGCAACCTCCTGTTAAGAGCCTGTTGAGGGCACAATGCAATGCACATAAATTCAACACGGCAATGGATGAATCACTCAATTAATACCCGAATACCACACACCGAATACCGAATACCGAATCACAACATTTACAGGACAGCACGCAACGAAACCATAGAAATAATATAGATACACGTATAGAAATAATATGGTTATCTATATTATTTCTATGATCGAAACCAACAATTTTTGATTGGCTAGCTAAGTTTGAGTTTCAAAAAGGTTCACCAGATGGCAGCACACTCTATTTCGCTGTAGTATGCAGTCTTTAGACTACACATAGGAAATCGCAGCCGTGAATGAACAACACAACACGAAAAGATAACCTATTGCTCCATTTTATGACATTTTTTATGCCGTGAAAACATAACATGTAATCTACAACATAACTTGCTATTTGGCCGCAAGTCATTCCTCCATTAATCTCAGCAACGAAATGCTATATAAACCTTTTATGCAACAACAACCAATAATTTCTTCCTCTACGGATTGACACCAATTTAAAAATATCTCTCACTGATCAACCTCTGCCACTGCCATTATAGCTACATAAATACCTACATATTATTGTACAAGATCATTTTTACTATGTACGAGATACAGTTCTAAACACAACCATCGTGCATAACATACTAGGATTAGCAAATTTTTATGTGCGTTTATAATTTTACTAACAGGTGCATATAGCATATATTAGTTTCACAGTTCACCAGTTGCATCTCTCCAACAGTTAGTTTTTTAAACTTTCGCCAGTTTTTTTAATATTCACACAATTACTAAACTCCTTTATCTGCAAAAGATTAACTTAAACTGAACCGAAAAAAATCCGGCAAATCCGCAAAAACAAATCTCTTCACATCTTTGAGATTCAACTTCACACGACTGCGAACGATTTGAGAGAGTTTCCATCTAGATGAGCACAATCTTCACGCACGACCGCGTAAGCTGCTTAAAGTGCAAAAATGTACGACTCTCACGAGAGCAAAAGCGAGACGACAACAACGACCATTGACACGATATAGCTGCCAAGCTGCCAGGTTAGATAAATAGACGATGCACACGGGTCCTAGACTCGGGTTACGTGGGAGCCTATGGTCCAACAACGGGGACAATCGATGCTGGGCAAGCTTGCGGGCGAGCGGCGGCGTTTATCACGAAGCGGGTTCCTTGCTGAGCAGCTTCCACTGCTGCTGCTGCTGCGGCTGTTGCTGCTGCTGCGGCTGCTGCTGCAGCAACTCTTGTAAGCACACATGCAACTATGAAGCACTACATTAGCACACGTGCGCGTGGGGCGATCGCTCTTTCTACGGTTGCAGGACAACGACTCAGTCTTTATCTCACGCTCTCTCCATCTCTTCTTCTCTTTCTTTCTTACTCGCTCCCTCTATGGCTTCTGTCTGTCTGTCTGTCTCTCTCTCTCTCTCTGTCACACCATCTACAGATGCTGTTTCTTGCCCCACCTATGGTGTCTCTTGCATTCTCTAGGGATGCTGTTTCTCACTTACTCCACAGTTGCCATCTGAGCACTGTATCCTCTACACTTGTTGTTTCTTGCTTCCTCTACACTTCCCGTTTCCACCTTTCTCTACAGCTTCCGTCTATTGCTTCCTCTGCACTTTCAGTTTCTTACTTCCTCCACACTTGCTGTCTCTCGCATCCTCCACAGCTCATTGACTTCCGTGCACGTTACCGTTCAATGGTGGAAACTCGCTGCCGCTACAAGGCTATTGCCTACGGCTCATCGCTCTATCTTCTCATCCTTCTACGCCAGGCATTAACGTCCAACGGCATCCGACTAACTATGACAGATGTTGTCCCGTGCCGCCCCCTGGTGGCAGCAGCGCTGGTGAGGCCCAACTATAACTGCTATCTGTCCCACGCCAGTGGGGTCAAATTATAACTGCTGCTGTCCCATGCCATTCCCTAGTGGCAGCGATGCCAGTGGGGCTCAACTAAAACTGCTGTTGTCTATAGGAGTGGCGACGCCGGTGGGGTCCGACTATGACTGATGTTGTCCTGTGCTGCCCTCTAGCGATGCTGACGCCGGTGGGGCCCGACTACGACTCCTGTTGTCCCGTGCTGCTCCCTAGTGGTGGCGACGCCGGTAATATCCAACTATAACTGCTGTTGTCCCGCTGCTCCTCCTTCCATCATCGTCGGCAGCGGCGGCGCGTCGGTCTGCAGCGGCGACGTCGGCATGCCATGCTCCTCGATCTGATCGTAGTCGCACGGCCGGCAGCACTTGGCCTCGAGACGCGAGATCGCCGACTGGATCTCGCGGACGGCGGCGCGGCGCGCGGCGCGCACGTCGTCGCGGCCTGCCGTCTCGACGTCGTCGAGGCGCAGCAGCTGCCTCATGAGCATCTCGTCGAGGAAGAGGAAGCGCTTGTCGCCGGCGGCGCCCGAGAACGCGGCCACCTCGTCGACGAGCAGTCGCGTCTCGGCGTGCACGTCCGCGATCGTCGCGAGCGCCCCCACTGGCGCGACGTGCGGTGGCGCCTCCTGGCCGCCATTGTCGTCGCCGTTCGTCGTTGCCGGCGGTGGTGGCGCGGGGGCGTCGACGTCGTCGCGGGACGGGGGCTCGGCGGGCGCAAGCGGGATGGGTATCGAGTGATCGTGCACGTTGACCTTGTCGTCGCTGCCACGCGCCGGTTCCTGCAGCTGGTAGTCTGGTTCGGGTATCGCCGGCGCGTCCGGCGGCGTCCCCTCTTGCTGCTGCTGTGGTGGCTGCTGCTGATGATGCTGACGATGAGGTGGCGGCGGTGCACCCTGCTCGTGCTGCTGCTGCTGCTGCGGTGGTGGCTGCTGCTGTTGTGGCTGCTGTTGCTGTGGTGGTGGCTGCTGGTGCTGTGGCGCATGCTGTGGATGTTGCGGCGGCTGCTGCTGCTGCTGCTGCGGCGGCGGAGGCTGAGCCTGTGGCCAGTGCTGCTGCTGGAACTCGGCGGGGGGCGGGGTCGCGAAGCGATCGTTCCAGCCGTGCTGCATCATCGCCGGCGAGCGGCCGCCGCCGCGCAGCTGCTGCCACACGTCGTCGGGCCGCGGCGACGCCGAGCGACGCACGTGCGGCGACGTCGCCTGCCGGAAGAACTCGTGCGACGGCGGCGGGCCGTCGGCGAGGCGCGGGTGCTCGTGGAAGCCGTGGGGCGGCACGCCGTCGCGGTTCATCATCATCGCCGGCTGCTGCGGGCCGCCGTCCATGCCGAAGAACACTCGCGGGAAGCCATCGTCGCCCTGCGTGGTCGTCGTCGGCGGCCACTGCGAGAATAGAGAGATCGTTTTTATTGTGACAATTGCGAGCTGATTTGCGTTGTTGCAACCTTATTTTTCCCTTAAAAGCACGGTATATAACAGATAAAACTAAGATAAATAATAGGATAGCTAAACTAAAGATAAATAGTAAGTTACCCGGGAGTTCTAGAAAGAGTGTGACTGTACCGTATTGATTCGACAGCCGTACTCGCGAATCGATGCAATAAACCTAACAGGTGGTAAAAATAGCAGCTAGCCAAATGGAACAGCTAGCCAAATGGAACAGCTCAAAGCTAAATGAATTTGCTTGGTGGATTTCCTGCTAAGTACTTATCCCTAAACCAATTTTTGCATCTTTTTGTTATCAATCAAAATCATTATTCTGAGATCGGCGACCATAACAACTAGACATCCCATACAGCCAGCTCACTGTAACTCTACCAGTAGCTCTAACGACCTTCGCCTCTCTCACTCTCTCTGTGTGCACGCAATATTAAATTGGAAAACGACACAACGTCCACTGAAAATTCGAGCCGCTAAAAGTTTACACGCGTCATAAAACCGCGCTTGCCGCTGCGATGGGTTTCTCCATTTCCCCGCGGTTTTCGCAATGTGCCAGCACGTTGGAAGCCACATTAACAAACTGCCAGGCAAACCCTGTTTACCCAGAGTGTACGACATCACTGGCGGTGATGGATTCTGCGACGAGCCCAAGCCCGAGCGTTTACAAGTAATGTCAGAATACCGTTGACGCGTAGATCTGGGCTTCTTGTTGGACGGGGATGATATTTACTTAGACGAGGAGCATTCTCGTTAGCGACCGGCAGCACAAAGCAGCGGTGCACATCACGGCTAGGAAGCCATCCAACTATGCGACCACGCTCCGCGACCGACCCATTAGTCTGAGCGAGACAACCGCGCTAACGTCGATAATACGAATTATGATGACGAACCACATTAAACGACGACAATAATCCCCCCCCCCAGCCCCTGCCAGATACTGCTGCCATCTCAGTCAAACTCACCCGGTTTCCCAAGCACGCATGCAACAACGTTTTTAGAACACACCTAACGTAACGCCGATTGGCTAGAACTCCCTGTCAATCACTTGGGGAAATAGTTCAATTTGGCATGCACACGTGAAGAAAACATACCATGCAACCAGTCTACCTCAACCGACCCAGCAAGGCTATCCAAGGAGGACATCGCCACCTCGCTCGGACGTCGCTATCGGCAGCGCACGGGGATACGTACCTGAGGCTCGGCTCTGTGCGCGCTCGCGGGGCTGCTGGAGTAGGGGGCGGCGGGCGGCGGCTGCTGCGCGTGATTCTGCCTGGGTATCGTACGCGGGCTGGCCGTCGCCGAGCTGCTGCCTCGCGAGTCGCTGCGCTCGATCTGTATCGGGATGTTCCTCACCTGCAACGACGTGAAGAACGAGAGGTCAGCGACGGTCGGAGAGGGCGGGAGACGTGATTAAAATTACTATTACGAGATTTTTGCTCCGAAAAACTAAATATAGCTAAATATATTCTCACCTGACAGCGAAAATATCACTGATTACACCAACATTAAAAATACTACGATTTTATGCAGTTATAGCATAGAAAATTGGATATGAACACATCGTAACAGCAATGCATTTTATCGTGTCGCGACAATGCCTAATAGCAGAATTGGTAAACTAAGGTAAACCCGAACCCTACACATCGTAACTATATATAATCCTAACCATAACCGAAACCCTATTGATTGTAACCATAACTAGAGGTGCACCGGATCCTACTTAATTTTTAAGTTCCGACCGGAACAAGAACCAGCCGGAACTTGAAAAAAGTTTCGGCCGGAACTACCTGGCCGGAACCGGAACTTAAGCTGGGAATAAACTTGACAGTTTTAATTGGCCCAGTATTAATTGTGCAAACTCACTCGGCCTGAACGAAATATTCTTAGCAGGCACATCACTCAGGCGAGTAGGACAATGCTCATTGTTCTACAAGTTCTCATTATGTCTCATGTTCTCATGTCTCATGTTCTCATTATATACATGTTCTCATGTCTCATGTTCTCATTGTCTACATGTTCACATTCTACATTGCTCTCATTGTCTACATGTTCACATTCTACATTGCTCTCATTGTTCTCAATGCTACAAAGTTCTAATTACAGGATGGTTGTTAGGTGTATGAATCATCTGCTTACAGTGCATAATTCTGGCATCTTATTCGCGAGCGAATAACAATTGTGTGGCAAAACCTGCATTTTGCAGTATCCCTGGTTTTAGTCGATTATTTTCAACTAACAAACAGATGCCATTCCTGTGGCTCTACGAGTATTTTATTTTAAAAGAAAATCTCGTAACATCAGTTAGGTTCAGTTCAGTTAGTTAGCCGATGTTCAAGTGGCAAACGTTTTCTGTGCAGAATAGTGTGAAGTTGTTAACACTATATTGTCAGCAATTAACTTGACTCTATTGACGCTCAACTACATTCAGTGACTGATCTTTTGATATTGATGACGCTTGTAGCAGAAATGAAATTAGTAAAAAGTTCTGGTTCCTGCCGACTGTTCCTGGAGGGTTCCGGCGTGAACCGGAACTTTGAAAAATTGGGGATCCGGACGGATAGTTCCGGCCGGATCCAAGTTCTGGTGCACCCCTAACCATAACCCACAACCTATCGATCGTAACCATAATCCTAACCATAACCCACACCCTATCGAGTGTAACCATAACCCATAACCTACCTATCATAACCATAATACTAATATAATTTGGCGAATGTTGTATGTATGTATGTATGTATGTATGTATGTTAATGAAAGGCTCCATCAGTTTGTGGATCCAGGATATTTCTTTCTCCTGTACAGAGAGATCGATGACTAAGCAGATAAGATACGAGGAGTGTATCTAAGTAACCTTTTATACTCGGTTGAAACACTGCTTTTGTTCAGCGCGTCTTAAAAATGACAAAAACACTAAAAAGGCTAAACACCCCCGCAGTTCCCCGGGCCACCCCCTTTTGCCTGAATATGAGACGGCTTCTGTTTGTGGTTTGATTCGATATCGTGTGTTGTATTCTCGTTTTTTTGAACAGGTTTCAATTTCAGCTCGTTGTTGGCAGCTGTGTTTATCTCTTGTTTCTGTGGTCTGTTGTGTGTCTGAGACTTTCGTAGTAGCCCCATAATGTTAAGTAGATATAAACATGATCATAATTGAGTTTAAATATTCGTGTAGCTATTTGGCCCTAGTTCCCATATTGGAGATGTAGCAAGGGTTCGATGTATTTCAAAGTGCCAGAGGTCTTTTTTGTTCGAAGTCTTGCTAGTGCCTGTACAGTGCTAGGGGGCTGGCCGTGAGGAATTCGGATCTGTCTTTACAAAGCGGTCGATCACAAGTTACCGCTCAGCTATTACGCTGCTCAGCAGAGTGAAGACATGACCGCTAGAGGTATAGCGATCACACCACGCAATAATTTACTCGGGGTCCGCACACGTGGAAACATAGCGCAAAGTGACAGCACGTAATATTAGTTTACGTTATACCCATTCAGCCCGTAGACAGCCTTCTTATTGGGGAGGGGTCGTCGATCTTTATCTTCAAATGTTGGCAATTTGCCTCGCGACGGGGGTGTACAGAGTTGCCTGCTAGCCAGGCGAAGTGTCTACACGCGTAACCCATAGTTGCGTAAGTCACGCGAAGGGGAAGGGGCGTAGCTGGGCCTCGCGACAGACATTTTATTTCAAAATTACACCTCAGATGCGTATATTCTCTGGCACGAGGACAGGGGGGTCCCGGGACTCCCGTGGACCCACCTTTCTAAACCCGGACCCATGCTCCAGGCGCGACGCGCGTGCCGAGTGGCGAGGAGCGCAAGCGACGAGCCGGACTAGCGCGCGGGGGGTGTGGGGGGGCGGTGTTCACTGGTCACCTCCGCACGATGGGATTTTTGCAATTATTACACTTAATGGAGCACGTGAGGTGAATTCTTGCAAATTTAAAAATTTTGGGCTGGGAGAGGGGCTAGATGGGGGGGGGGGTTCTTTCGAACCCTAGGAACCCCCCTGGATTACGGGGCTGCCATTAAACATCTATCTATATTCTGAACTTGTGGAGTCCGTATCATCAACAGACATTAGCTACATAAAACATTTCTGTGTGGGTTGTGTAT